CTTGCTTGACTCCATTGGTGACTGGGAAAATTCAAAAGCATTGTCCATTATGCAGAACCTGTGCATAGTAGAACTAGAATACAATACTGATGAACTGCTCCGGGCAACCAAATTTTGTCATGTTTTTCCACAAGTCCTCATGACTGACATTATCAAAAGCTTTGGTCAGATCAATGAACATTGTATACAGACCTCTGTTCTGCTCCTGGCATTTCTCTTGGAGTTGTTGGGCAGCAAACACTTTATCAACAGCTGCCTGGCCCTTTCTGAAGCCCTATTGGCTTCATTGAAGATGTCCATCTTCCAGGTAGAGGATCAGCCTATTTTTTTTTTTTTTTGCTAGGCAATGGGATTAAGTGACTTGCCCAGGGTCACCCAGCTAGTAAGTGTTATGTGTCTGAGGCCAGATTTGAATTCAAGATCTCCTGACTCCAGGGCAGGTACTCTATCCACTGTGTCACCTAGCTGCCCCAAGGATCAGTCTATTGAGGGGGACTCTGGCAAGAACCCTGCCAGCAATGACTGAGAGAGACACCCCAACAGTCACCCTCATTTCCATCCCCATTGTGAAAGGACATCTATTTCCTTTTCCTTTATAGAGATAGGCCTTCTTTTGCCATATAACCCCAAAGATTTCAGTCAAATTTTTTTTTTAGGCAATTGGGGTTAAGTGACTTGCTGAGGGTCACACAGCTAGTAAGTATCAAGTGTTTGGTCTGAGGCAGGATTTGAATTCAGGTCCTCCTGACTTCAGGGCCAGTGCTCTATCCACTTAGCCACCTAGCTGCCCCTATTTCAGTCAATTTTTGTATAAGCACTGGACTCCATGCCTTGTAAATCTTAGCTAGAATAGAACCAGCAGCAGGTGCCTTACCACATAAGAGGAGCCTAATGGCATTCAAAATCTCTTTTTTTAGTTGGAAATTCAGCTAGAGAGGGATTGACTTCAACCTGAGGCATATGGACAATGGCTTCACAGCATTGATTGATGATGGTATGCTGAGAACACTATGGAAGTGTTCAGCCCATCTCCAGGACCATGTCTATCACAAATCAATGTGGTTCCATCAGCCTGAGTAGGTGAGATGCACCATAGGTCTTTGGCCCGTAAATAGCCTTCATGGCATCATAAAAATGCTCTGAATTGTTACTCTCAGTGTAAAACTGAATTTCATCCTGCACCTTTCTAGGCTTCACATGCACTTTACTTTTGATGGACTTCTTAGAGATGGACAAACTATCCTGCTGTTAAACCTTCTGGAGTTCTCCTTCTTTATTTAGCAGTTTCTGTATTTACCCATCATTTTTTGTCAAACCAACCTTGAGGTTTGTGAATGTTCTGGCCCAGATGAGTAAATTCAGTGCTGTACACCAGATCTCTGAAAGCTGTCCACTCCTTTTCTGCTTCACTGTTGTCAACTGTGTTGTTGGCTCAGTTCTTTTTCCGCAAATTCGTAATGGAGGGGGCAGCTAGGTGTTGCAATGGATACAGCACCAGCCCTGGATTCAGGAGGACCTGAGTTCAAATCCCACCTCAAACACATTACACTTACTCACTGTGTGACCCTGGGCAAGTCACTTAACCCCACTGCCTAGCCAAAAAAAAAAAAAAAAGAAAAGAAAAGAAAAAGAAAAACAAATTAGTAACGGAGAAACACTCTAATCTGTTCGCATTGTCTTCTGGTAGTCATCTTGTCTTAGGGCTGTCACTGTTGTTGATCTCTAATGTTTAGCTTGGAGAGGACTATGATCAGTTCAGCATTCAGTCCCCCACTTTGCCTTCATTACTCTCACATCTTGTCTCTCTCTTCTGACAATGACATAGTCTATTAAATGCCAATGTTTGCTTTGAGGATGCTTCCATGAAGTATTATTGCATTTAAGAAAATGGAAGATGGTGTTAATGATGAGGTCATGAGACACATAAGCCTTCAATAGTAAATGTTTTTTGCTGTTGCTGTTTCCAACCCCATTCCTTCCAAGGATTCCCTGTCATGTCTGATAGTCTGTGCCTAATCTGGTATTAAAGTCACCCAGAATTACAAGTGTGTCCTTTTTCAGCACATTGATGATGAGGGTCTTCAGTTCTTCATAAAAATTTTCTCTGACCTCATCAGAGTTGGTCATAGTGGCAGTATATACACTGATGATGGTGATGTGGCAATTTTCCACAAGTGGCAATTGCATTGTCAGGAGCTTGTCATTCACTCCTTTTGGGAGTCATACAAGCTTCACAATACTTCCCATCACTGCAGCCATTCCAGAAAAATGTGTATCCTGTTCTGACTTCTGCAAACTGGCTTTCATTTGCCGGCCTTATTACACTCTGGGCTGTTATTTGGACGTGATACCTCCTAAGTTTGTCTTTCAAGTCTACTGAAAGACTCTTGTTACATGTAAGTGCACATATTCCATGTACCAATCATGAATGGAATCATTGCAAAAGTTTTTATACATTTTTTGGTGTGTTTCAACCACAGGATATGATCCCACCTTGCCATGGTAAGCAGATCAGGGATCAGTTAAGTGAAGCAGAAAATTTTTAGAGCATCTTTTGTAGTTCCCTTCTTTATGCCAGGAGGTGAGCTTAAGTTGTCCTTAAAAAAGACTGCTTAGACTCCCATTGGGTTCTGAATCCCACTGCTGCTTCAGTCCAGTGAGAAGACAACCCTATGATCCTGTGCAGGGTTGTGACTACAGCTCCCAGTGCATCCACACATGTTGCTTCATCACTTACCTGTTGACACAGGACTTTGAGGTAGGTAAAAATGGTGAAATAATATAAAATAACAATGATTCCTTTTGACTAGGGAACAAATTGGATTTAAGTGAGGCAGAGTTGCACAAAGTTTTCAGCCTCACTCTCTCTTCCAGAGTCATCAATGTCCAGTGGCAAGACAAAAGTCAAGATGACTGGTGATAGCTGATCCCAAAGCAGTAGATGACCTTGGCATTGTCAATGACTAACCAAGCTCTAAGTGCTCCATAACATCTGCTCCAGCCAACTTAATGGCCTTTGGAACAAATTGTTCTCATCCACCCATTCTGCCAGTAGAAGTCTTCACCTCCCCTCCCCCAACTTACCAATGGGTTTGAGGCCTATCAGTCACTCTCAACCTGATTTAGGCCATCTGCTGAAACAGTTTACTGTGCATGCTAGAGCTTCTCAGAGCCACAGATGAGAATTGAGTGGCAGGTGGACACCAAAGGTGGAAAGCAGTCCTGAAAAGGATTCTGCAGCCCTCACACTTGAGCTACTAAACTTCCCTGAACACCTATATACACCTGTTAGGGTAATTTTCTCATGGGAGTTCTAGCTTTTCTCAGTAGAAGCTGAGGGTCACAACCCATTGTGCGGCAAAAACAAGGAAGTCTCACAAGACTTCTCCTTTGCTGACATGCAGCTTCCACGGTTGGCTCGGCTCTCCTCTCATTGGGAGAAAAGTCCTACTTATACCTTTGATATGAGGGCTGCAGGTGTCCAGCAGACTTGGTAATTGGCTATCATGTGGAGATCATGCTTTGATCAGGTGTTACTAAGGATATAAAAGAAAGCTACTAGAACTTAATAAACTGAGCTTCTGCCATTTTGCTGTCTCCCGCATCATCAATGCGCCTGCGGGTTAAGAGTATTGAGCTGGTCTCAAGCTCACCACTGCAGTGGCTGAGTCATACACCTACTAATAACTACATACAAACAAGACATATACACAATACATAGAAGGTAATCACACAAGGAAGGCACTGGTAGGTAGGTGGATGGACTAGGATAGATTCTGGAAGAAGATGGGATTTGAGTTAAATTTTTAAGTTATGGGAGCTTAGAAACTGAAGGAGGAGGATGAGCATTCCAGGTAGTCCCCCAGGGATGGGGAACAAGCCACTTCAAAGACATGAAATTAGGAGACAGAATGTGATATGGAGGAACAGCAAATAGGTCAGTGTAGCTGGATTGGAGAGTATTGGCTTGGCTATGTTGCTTGTCTGGAATGCTCTCCTCCCTCACCACTAGTGCTCAATTTCCCTGGCTTCTTTCAAGACAGCTCAAATCCCACCTTCTGCAGGAGGTTTTTCCTTTTCCCTGCAGCTGAGAGTGCCTTCCCCTATGAGATTACCTTCCAAATACTTTGTAAATATTTTGTATGTACTTATTTACATGGTGTAAACTGCTGGAAGATACATTATATCATGTTCTTTTTATTACTATTACTTAATACAGTATTCTATTTGTATACACACAACGTCAAGAGAAGGCCCCCAAGACATTGGTTGGACCCTGCTTGGAGGGAATAGACAAGAATTGCTCTGAAAGGACAGCAAAATGTATGTTTTAATGTGCAGTATTGTAGGAAGTACCTCCAATAACCAGTACTGAGTATTTCATATCCATCTCTTTCTAGTGAGATGTCTTTTTTATGAGTCTTTTTCCATAGAATCTCAAAGCTGACAACATATAAGTGGTCATTCAATATTTGAAGACCTTTAGTTAAAGGGAACAAACCTAAAGCAGCTCATTCCTCATTAAAGTGTAAGTGTAAGAAAGTGTAAGAAAGTTTTTGTTGTTGTTTTTTCTTATATCAAGCCTATAACTTGCTCTTATTTCGACCCACCTTCACCCTGGTTCCAAGCACAGCAAGTCTAATCCCATATCCACATTATGGTATAGCTATCATATTTTAAAACAGTTATTGTTTTACCTATAGTCTTCATTTTCTCTGTTTCTATCTGTTGGCTGTCACTTAACATTAGAGGGGCTGTACTTCCCTTACTTGGCCCTCCTTTCCCTTCCCCCATCTTCCTCCCCTCCACTTTTATTTACTATCACAATCGTCAGTAGATTGGCTTTTGGAAGGGGGTGGGAGAGCCCATATGAAAGATCGAAAACCAGCTTTTCCATTGGCTACTATAAATTAGCCAATCAGAGTGCTTTATTTTCGCGCTCAGTACTCGTTATAAAAGGGTCACTTTATGCACTTCATGCATTGCTTTGGTATTCTTATTCCAACACTAAGAGTCTTTTGGGGTTTGTTATCATGTCTGGACGTGGAAAGCAAGGTGGCAAAGCTCGCGCCAAGGCAAAGTCGCGGTCCTCTCGGGCTGGTTTGCAGTTCCCAGTGGGCCGTGTACACCGGCTTCTCCGAAAAGGCAGCTATTCGGAGCGAGTAGGAGCTGGAGCACCGGTGTATTTGGCCGCTGTATTAGAGTATCTGACAGCCGAGATCTTGGAGCTAGCTGGCAACGCGGCTCGGGATAACAAGAAGACGCGCATCATTCCCCGGCATCTTCAGTTGGCCATACGCAACGACGAGGAACTAAACAAGCTGCTGGGCAAAGTCACCATAGCCCAGGGTGGCGTCCTGCCTAACATTCAGGCGGTGCTGCTGCCCAAGAAGACCGAAAGTCACCACAAAGCCAAGGGCAAATAAATAATTTGAGTCAATCCTGCATTTTTGTATTTGATCTTACTGAAAACCAAAGGCTCTTTTGAGAGCCACCCACATTTTCAAGGAAAGAGTTGATTCATTTTCACTCATAAGCGTAACGACATAGTGATTTAATTTTTTTGATTATGCGATGTTTTATAGCAAAGCGAAACCTACCCGTTTTACCCCCCCTCCAGCAGTGCTCGCTGAATGAACTTACCCATAATTTGTAAGAGGGGATGAAGTTTTGATAGTGCTAATTTGGGAGCCCAGAGTCTGACTCTTAGTAAATTTAAATCATTTCAACCTAAAATCATTAATTAGATCCCTTAAAAAAGGGTATTTCGGAAGGGAAGAGGTATGCATTCTTTTTCAAGTTTCTGAAGGAGTTCCCCTCCCCCCCTTTAAAAATGGTACTAACATATTTTAGCTCGTTAGGGGATCGCCAACAGTCTTCCCCTCCCATGTCCTACTTACTGAGACTCAGGAAGAGAAAGCTTATAGGTAATTGAGAAGAAGGAAGTGTACAATTATCTTAACTCCAGGCAGTCAGGCATTCTGTAGCAAGCCAACCCCAGCACTGGAATGGTGGCTTAAAGGAAGCAGACTTGAAGACCTTTGGCAGGGAGCGGTGGCGAGGCAGTGTTTTCTTATGCCGCCTTCTTTGCCTCGTTCCACCAGCAGCCCACGCACCCAATTTCTCGCGCCCTCCTACTCCCATCCCCCCCACTGCCCAGGATCCCTGGCGTTTTTAAAACACTGGTTCTGCGCAGATTCTACAGCTTAGCCAAACTGCAACTTATATTCTAGGTCCCACAGCAGGGTGTCACGTCAGGGTGTCAAAAAATCTTTTTCTGTGTTTGATGAACCTCTGATGTTCTGGTAAAGCCATTCTCAGAATAAATGTTTCTTTTTAAATTGAATTTATGCTGAATTTTAGTTGGAGGTTAATGAAAATATTTAACTTTCCCTCATGCCAAGTTCACAGACCCCCTGAAATCTATCCACAGACCACCTCAGCGTCCGGGAATCCCAGACTAAGAAGCTCTGATTTAGAGGAAAGAGCCCTGGATTTGTTGTCGGTTTGTATTTGATTTGTGGGTAATCCGTTCCATTATCTGGAAGTTAGTTTCCTCTTCTGTAAAATAGAATGTGGCCATATCGCTAAGCTTCCTTACAGCTCGAAATTATAAAATATTGAAATGGCTAAATTCACATACAGACAATTCAACTTTGAGTCCTGAACTCTATGGGAAATTCTTACTCCGTTCGATAAAATGGACTACATGTAATCGATGTTTAACAGCTAGGAAAAGTTTTTTTAAATTTGATTTTATTAACCTTATCCTACTGAGAATAAAATATTCTCAAATATTTTAAAAGCACATTCATGCTTCGCCACCTCTTCTCCCGGGTTTCCTTCCTAGGAAATGCAATTTGGGCAAAAAAAAAATAGGGTAAATCCTATAAAATACAAATTGTTTCTGTCTCTTTCTCCCGGGTTTTGTTGGTAGTTCACAGAGAATCTAATGATTTCTGCCTTCAGAGAGACAAATAATTCTTTCAGTAACAAGTCAGAATGCAAAAATAAGCAAAATTTTTAAAAAATGTCCAGAAAGACGAATCACAAACCAGCGCGGGCTTTAAAAATGTTAATTAAAAAAATCAGTTTTATTCTGAAGAACATTTTGATTTTAGAAGCAAGGAAAATAAATCTTCATTATTGACTTTGCTCATTAAACTAGCTTTTTACTCAGTGGAATTAGAGGATTGAATTAAAAACCAATTAAGACATAACGCGGGATTTTCGAATGTTGTTTTGTCCAATCAGGAGAGAGTCACTTCTATAAATATGGCCAGAAAGAGTTCAGTTGCGCTTTTGTTACGAAAAGCTCGCGTTAAACGGTTGTCTTCGTAAAATGGCTCGTACCAAGCAAACTGCTCGTAAGTCCACTGGAGGGAAGGCACCTCGAAAGCAGCTGGCTACAAAGGCTGCCCGCAAAAGTGCTCCTGCTACTGGTGGCGTGAAGAAGCCTCACCGTTACCGGCCTGGCACTGTAGCCTTGCGAGAGATCCGCCGCTATCAGAAGTCTACAGAGCTGCTGATCCGCAAGTTGCCCTTCCAGCGGCTGGTGCGCGAAATCGCGCAGGACTTCAAGACGGATCTGCGCTTTCAGAGCTCGGCCGTGATGGCTCTGCAGGAGGCGAGTGAATCTTACCTTGTGGGACTGTTTGAGGACACAAATCTGTGCGCCATCCACGCCAAGCGGGTGACCATCATGCCCAAGGACATCCAGCTGGCTCGCCGCATCCGCGGAGAGAGGGCTTAAACCACTAGGAGGCGCGAAATAAAATCCAAAGGCTCTTTTAAGAGCCACATGTATTCTCAATGAGAGCTGTAATAACACTTGTATACTGAATAGGGTAAGATCTCGGGATAATTTAGTTTGTGGCCATTTGAATAACTGATGCAAATAGTGAGTGTAATTGGAATTGTTTTTTGGGATGTAAAAGTTCACTTAAGTCCATTTCTTCTAGATTTTTTAATGTATTGGTTTTTAATGCACGTTTTGAGGTGCTGCTTGTCTAGTTTTCGTTATGTCTATATCTTACTGACCAGTTTTTATTAAAGGTATTAGAATAAGTTTTACCTTTATTGCTTCGGCTGCATCCTAGAATTAAATTTTGCTATTTTGTCTTAGTTGTCATTTTCTTGAAATCACTTGTTTTTTGATCTATCGGTTCAAGATTAAGTTATTTAATCTCAATCTTTTCAAAGGGTCTTTACTGAACATAACTTGATTATCTTGTCAGCAAAAGATGTATTACTATCTCTTCCCTTATGCATTTTTGTGAGGTTTTTATGTTCTAATGCTCAGTTGTAAAGGTGCTATGAACACCATGTTTGCTCCTTATTCAACAAATGTTGGAGAGGTGAAGGAGACTGTGGCCGAAGGAGCTCTTGGAGAATGGCCTTTGTTTTTTCAGCAAAATAGGAAGCACATTTCTCAACTGAGTGTAAGGGAGGAGTCATGGGCAGATTTAAGGAAGAATAAAAGTTTGGAAGAACCCTTGTAGTGATTGAGATGGTGACTGATTAGGGAGGTATGGAAAGATTTTTGCTGTAGTGAGGAGCCTGATGAGGTTATGTAATATAAATGGTAATGCACCCAGTCTCTATGTTGGGGATTTTCAGAAACAAGGAGGCACAGAATGATCAAAGATTGAGGCTTGGCCAAGTAGTGGGATCCTTTGTCAAAGGACATGATGTAACTTTTTAGTAACTTTGGAAGACATGCGGTATTTCCAAAATTGCTTTCCAAAATGACTGGACCAACTCACACATTGGTCTACTAGTGTGCCTATTTTATTTCAGCCACTTCAATATTTGCCTCTTTTCTCCAGATTGCCCTCACAAATCATTGTCCTTTTTCTCTTCCTATCTGCCTTTTGCCTAAAAACACATCCAAGCCACCACTATTCTTAAAAACATCTCATTACGTCCTCTATTCCCTCAAACTATTGTCCTATATTTATCTCTACTCTCTTTCTCCACCTAACTCCTAAAATAAAAGCTGTTTACACTCTTTGCCTCAGTTTCTTATCCTCTCATTTTTCAGCACTTTACAGTCTGATTTCTGACTTCAAAACTCATATGGAAACTACTCTGTACTAAATTATTAATGACCCATTAATTGCTGGATCTGATTCTTTTCTGTTTTTCATACTTCTTGACCTTTCTGCAGCATTTGACACTGGTAAATACCTTCTGCCCCTGGATAATCTTTTTTCTCTGGGATTATACTTCCTCACTTGGCAACTGCATCAATCTCCATGGATTTAGTTATTTCTATGTAAATAATTCCCAGATATATACATATATGCATATATACATACATGTGTGTATATGCATACACACACACACACACACACACACACACATCCCTACCCAGACTGTACATTGTTATTTTCTAGTGGCTTTGATATGAGTCTTGTTTGTTTTCTCTAACCAGTGAATAAACCTTTTCATGAAAAAGGAGGAGGAAGATGATAAGAATGAGAAGGAAACTGAGGTGGAGGAGGAGGAGAAAAACTCTGGAAGTCAGGGACTGGTTTATTTTTTTTATCCTCAGCACCTACCACAGTGGTGCCTGGCACATAATAAGGCTGGCTGTTTGACTAACTCTGACAGTTCTCCCAGAAACCTGTTTTCCTCTGGAGTCTAGGGGTTCAACATCTCCACAATCCTAGAAATCAATCCTAGAAATTTATTAAATGATGACCATGTGCCTTGAAGGGAGCTAGGGGTTCTAAAAGGCAGAGATGAGGAGGGAGAGCATTTCAGGCATGTGGGACAACTTTTGCCTAGGCAGAGGTGGGAGAATTCATGTCTTGTATGGGCGATAGTGAGGCAACTAGATGGCACAGTTAACAGAGTACTGGGCCTAGAGTCAGGAAGACAGGAGTTCAAGTCTGACCTTTGACACAGACTAATTGTGTGACCCTGGGCAAGTCACTTAACACTGCTTGCCTCAGTTTCCTCATCCGTAAAATGAGCTGGAGAAGGAAATGGCAAACCACTCC